AGAACTAGAACAATTAAAAATATCTTTTAAGGAGAACGAAATTAAAGTTAATCAAATATTTTTTTTTTAAATTTTTACTTAATTTTCATTTTGTTTTTGTAGTCGCAACAAACAAATGAAGGGTTAAAAGAATCCCATCAACAAATCGAAGCTTATAAAGAACGAGTAAATAACAAAAGAAAAACATGAATCGTTTTCTTTTTATTTGTTGTTATTTTTCTTTTCAGTGTGAAAAACTTCAAGAACGTCTTTTATTAATGAAAGAAAAATTAATCGAAATCAATGATGAACAACCACAATTAATCAATGAACAAGTTAAACGTACAATTAATATTATATTTCAAAGTTTAAAAGCTCGTATTCGACCAACAAAACAATATACTGGTGAACAATTTCTTTCGCGTTCGCTTGAAATTATTAAAAAAGCAACATTAAAAGTTTTATCAAATAATGATGATGATGAACAAAATGAACAATCAACAGATGATATTGAATCAGATGATGAAAATGAACAAATTCAAACAACAGTTGATATTCAGAAAATTGATCAATCATTAAATGATAAATCTGTTGATCAAGAACCATTAAATGAAGAAGTTTCATTAACAACAACAACAACTCAAAATGAAGATAATAATTCAAATCAATCAGAAACAACAACAACAAATAGTCAAAAAAATGATTGGGATACTGTAGATGATATTCAACAGGAATCAAAAATTCAATCTGAAACACTTGAGCAAAGTCAAATTGTTGTAGTTGCTGAAGATACGACATCAGCAGGTATTTACTTTTTAATAATTATTCGTATATTGACATGAAATTGATATCGCAGAAGATGGAAGAAAGACGACTAATCATTCTCATTAGGATATAAGACAGTAATAGGAGATCATTCATGCCTCGTAAAGTCCATCGAATCTATCTCAAATTCGAACTCGGACAGGTCGAGTTCAATAAAATTTTAATAAATTGGGTTCGGGTTCGAAAATCTGAGCTAATGGGCTCTAGTGTACTAGTAACGATAATTGGTTCGCATTATTTCGATGATCTTATGTTTAAAGCAACAAGTCAAGAAAGAAAAAAATAGATCCAGAATTAACTTAAAATCAGTAGACTTCAAAATCGACGATTGATCTTCCCTCTATTAGGGATTCATTTTAAATACTTATGTCTTTGCAAATGACAGTGCTTTTTTTAGATTACCATTTTGCTGTGAAGTAAAATATAGTGCACAAGTTAAATTTGAGAATGATAATATGTAGCGACTATACGATAATTTTCGTCCAGTATATTTATTCATTGATGAAGTTTTAGCTTGCGATCTCATTAGGTACTTTTATTAAATCTCTGTAAATCGATCAGTTTGTAACATAAAAACTTTAGTCATCATTGTTGGATCAGTTACCTTTGTACTCTAAGTTTTCATTCTTTTCTGTCTCTCAATTCATCAATTTATTGTATAAATATTAACATTTTTCTTTTAATAATTTTTTATAAAAAATTTTTAAGTCAACGAAACTGAAACAACATCATCAAATTCTGTGATTGAGAATAATGAACCAGCATCTTCTTCTGAAACTGTCAACGAAGAACATGCTGAAGATGATATGAACGAAAACATTGAAAAAAATAATGAAGAAATTGAAAAGAATGATAACGAACTACCACCGGAATTGGATATATCAGAAGACAAAACTTTAAGTGATGACGGTAAATCATAGATTCTTTTTTCGTTCAATATAAATTATATTTTTCCTTATAGAAAGTGATAGAGAATCATTTCAATCAGCTCGTCCACCTAGTCAAGATACTGCTTCAGCATCAACTTTTACACAACCATCAGCACCTCCAAAAGTATATCTAATATTCTCATTCATTTCTTCATGTTATGTTTGTTTTTAATCTTTTATTTTCAGTATACATTCAATGAAAATATTCCATTAATGACAAAACTTGATAATTCCGATGATGATATTTTTAACTAAATCAATGCCTTAAAAAATGTCTATCGATGTGCTTTTTTTGTCTTGATTATAAATCGATATGACATTAAGTGAAATTATTATTTCATTTGTTTTTTCCGTTATATAAATCAATGAAATTCTTTTTTTTTTTATTCGTTTGTTAGTCTATTTTTTCGTTAATTTATCTCATCAAAAAATATACGCAATATCTTTCTCTATTGTTTTTACATACATTTCAATTTAAATAAAGATCGAAATAAATATAAAATTGTTTGCTTTTGAAAAATACTTGAATTTCAATGGTACAGAAAAGATTTTATTTTCTAAACATTTTTTTAGCATCTATTTCTTGTTTTGTTTTCTCATACGATACGATGATAAAGCTTCTTTTTTTCTGTGTTACTTTTATCTGTACGACATAGAAATCTTAAGAAGAAAAAGAAAATCAGGCTTTTGGGACTTTTATGCTTGTCAAAAGTACAGAATTACTTGATTGACAAAATTTCTAATTAGTAATATTTTAATTGAATAGAAAAATGAATTCTATGCTAACACAAATAACAATTTTAAATTAAAATATTTATTTACTTAAATTATCATCAATAATCTTCATATGTGGGTCATTTCAAGTAAAATAGTGCATACCATTCGTCATTCATTTGATTTTGATTCTTGACAAGGATCATTTTTCTAAATAAGTTCTTTTAACATAGACATATGTAAAAATGTTGACTTTTTCAGTAGATGATTAATTAAAAAGTAATTAGCAAATATCTCTCTAACCACATACGAGGAAAAAATATCTGAAAACTTCAGAATAGACTCGACAGCACAAACCGCATATGTAGTAAAATTTTCAGCAAGATCAAACTCCAAAAAACTTCCTCTTGCAAATTGGTTTTATCAAGATACTATCAAGTTCAGAAACAAAACATTTTGTCTTACCATCATCTAAAGATTCTGAAGAAGGATAAAACAAAATGCAAATTGGAAAATCTAGGCACGCTCAAAAAAAACTTTAGATAGAGATTTTGTAGTGTTAGGAGTTACCTATAGAATATACTATTTAATTTCCAAAAATGATGCCATGATTCGGAGCTTTTTAAAACTAAAATGCATGAGATGACAGTTGATATCTGTTTTTTTTGTGTGTCATTTCGCTATCAGTAGTTTTTTTATTGATAATTCCTCTGAGCAATGATCTTCGGCACTGATTTTCTCAGAGTATCTAGAGTTATTTAACATAATTGTAATATATATATAAATTAGCTCAAGGAAATTTCATTATCTGGAGATATACGTTTTTTAATTTTGTGAACTCATGTCGCAAACAAATGATTTTACACATATAAAACGTTGAATTTTTATTAATAAAAAAATCATTAAAATCAGATTTTTATCCTTTTACATTGGAAGAACCTTATAGTCAATATTAACACCATATCGATGAACTCGGTCAGGACCTTGAAATTTAAGAATAATTTCATAGTTTGAATCAGAATATTGAATAAGTGTTTTATCTTTTGTCGTTACATCTATTTCTTGATTATTAAATATTCGATAGACATGTGAGACAGCTGACATTACTTGTTCATTATCGAGATGAATGGCATATGGTTGATGTTGTTGTGTAAATGGTGTTTTAATAATTAATGTTAAATTGTGAAGTGGATAAGACCAAAAAAAACTCATCGTAATACATTTTTCATAATCAGTATCAGTCAAATTAACAATACCTGAATTACAATCACTGGGAAATTGTACTACACTCATACATGTATCAAGTTTATCGACTTGAGCTTTGCATGACTTAATAACACTATTCTCAACAATTACAACAGATACTAAAAGTAATAAAACAATTGATGACAAAGTAGATAACATGATTGATAAGTGTTTGACTATGAATAGTATGTTTAGCTTCTTTTATATATAAATAAAATGAAAATGAGGTATAAGAAATAATGACAAAACTAAAACAAAATAACAGATGCATATGGTTACAGATAGAGTATATACTGATTACACGAGAAATATTTTTGCGTGGTCAGTATGACTCGATTTATTTTTAACAAGGTCGAATATTGTTTCTAACGTGCAATGCAAAAGTGACGACATAAAATGCTGATTCCTATTTCTCTTTGATAAATGTGTTCTAAAAAATACGGTTCAAAAAACGAGACAAAGCTCTATCGTTTGGTAAAAAAGGTTTTCTTTCAAAACTTTTTTATCGAAGAGAAATAGGGATTAAGTTTTTGTGCCATTACTTTGCATCGTACGTTATTTTTATGAAAAAACAATAGATCAGTTTTCAATGATTCATATCAATATTTAAGAGAAAAAAAGCATGTTATTATAGATGTTCTTATATTATTTTTATTTTGTAGAAAATTTCTTTCAAAAATAAAATCATTCTTATTTCAATTACGATTGAACAAATGTTAATCCTTGAAATGTTGCTTCTTTTGTTCGAGGCATTTTTACAATAAGATTAATTGTATCATTTGTTTTTATATAATTAACTTTTGAACTAGCAATAATTGTTCCTTGATCATCAACAAAAAACATCAGAAACTTGAAGTTGATTCACTTCAAATTCAATATCATAATCTACAATATTTGTTATATTTGTACATTCAATATTTTCACACACAATAAACATATATAAAGGTTTATTCAGCGGATATTCTGAAGCAATAAAATGAAAAACCGGTAAATCTGTATTTAGATCAATAACATGTTACATTTGAACTCCATATTGTTTTAATCTTTATATCGGTCTTGAAGAAATTGTATATTGTGATTGAATTGATTGTTTACAATCAGGAGATCAAGATATTGAATATGAATTATATCTTTAATAAGAATTTTTATTTTCAAATAAATAAAAATAAAAAATTTTATCCGATTGTGATGTTTGTCCATTAGTTGATATAGAAAATCGGAATTGTGAATCAACAGCTAAATAAACAAAATAAGCTAAATCTTGATTGACACTAAATTGAATTACGGATGTTTGATTGGATGATTGTGTTAAAGAATGTATAAATTCAATTCAAGTTCACATAGTGTTAACCAAGTTGAAAATTCAAAATGATTACGTGTTACATTAATACTTGTTCCTTTACAATAAGCTTTTCCTGTAAGATTAAATGGTAATGAAACACGAGAATAACTTAGACCTTGTTCACATAATGGATCTTAATAAATTTGAACTGTATAACTAGTGACACGATTATCTACAGATATATAATGAGCTTCAGATATGATCTTTATAGGTAAACCTTCTTGAGTAAATGTTAAACGTAATCTTGCTTGACCAAATCCTGGATTATTCACTGTATTTTGTATTAATGGTTTATTACATTTAGGATCTGATGATAAACACATGACTAATTCAACATTGTTATTCGATATTCGATAACCTGGTGAAAGATAAGATTAAGCACCATTGATATAAGGATATTATTGTTGAATACAACGAGGCGATACATCATTAAGCGCAAAATGAGCTGAATATAGACCAGGTATAGAAAGAGTCGAAATATCCGAACAATCACGTGTACAACATAATAAATACTGTTGAAGTTTGATTATAACTATATTGAAAAATTGATGAACATCGATCAGGTGTTAATGAAGCTGAAAAATCTGTATAGAAACCTTCAGGATTAATTATCCAACTTGTACTTGAAATTAATGAATATACAGAGAAAGAGAGAGTGATGATTCACTCAATGAAACAATGATCAATAGAATGATAAATCGATACATTTTTATTCAAGAATGAAAAAACTAATAAAACGACTTATAGATAACGTCATATTTTAAATGAAAGTATTTTGAAAAAATGAGAATATTAATATGTGTTATTAATTATATTTGAAAAAAATTATCTTTCTTTTTTTCTCTTCATATTAATTATTTGCCGAGAGAACTTTTTTTTCTGTATTTATATTTTTAATAATAATTCTTTCTAATTTAGTTTTGAAGTAAAAAATAATCGCCTACAATTACTTTATTTTTAAATACGATTACTACGTCATAGTTTTTTTTTCTATATACTTATTTGTAGAAATATTTCTTATTATATATATTAAAATCACATCTCAATAAAAATAAAAGAAGTACATTATTCTAAAACATAATAAGATCTATAAATGGAATATATTACGTGTGCTATATACGCAAAATAACATATATTACGACTTTTAAAAAGAAAAATGCTCAAATAACAGATCATATTTGAAAGCGTACATAATATATTATGTTTATTTTTATATTGTTAAGATAATTTTTTCTTTTTAAAATAAACGTTTACTTTTAGAATTAGCTTTTGTTAATTTATATATATCAACATCGACTTTATTGTGAAGATCATTCTGAAATAAGAAAGTTTTCTTCTTTTTTTTTTTTTTAAATATACAGTAGCTTCCAAAATGATTTGATCGTGTTTATTTTCAATCAAAATTTTTAAAAAATGATTCTTAATTTCTGAAGAACATAGTCTTTGGAAAATCAAAAACAATGAGTTTTTTTATTCCTAGGATTCCGTTTCAATTATTCCGAATGATAGAGCAAATAATTCTCTATCAAATGAAATGTCTTCGGTCTTTCCACGACATTTTTGATCAAAATATGTCAATCTTAACGATGGCATAAAGATGATATTTTGGTATAAGATAAAAGAAAAACAAGAAAACGACTTTTGGCAGATGGATATATCTCGATCAAAGGAATATCATAGACAGTTGGAAGACATTACATTTTGTAATAAATTCTTTGCTCTATCATTTTGAATAACTTAAATAGAATTCTAAGAGTTGTGAATTTTTCAAAGACTCTGTCATTGAGAAACTAGTGATCATTTCCTTACAGCAGTGGAAGAAAAATGTGATCGAATCATTTTGAGAGCTGTTGTATATCGAAAACAAACTAATGTTTGAATTTGATCTTGAATTTCATTATCAATTAAAGTATTAAAATATTGTAAACGTTGTAAATTTTCATCGACATTTTGCAATTGATCATTTGAATAGATTCTATCTTGTGCAATATGAACTAAATTTTCATTTGATTTATTTTCTTGAGATTTAATTAATGATGAATTTTTCGATTTGAATTTTTTTGATTTTGATGGACAACATAAACGAATACAGAAATTTCTTTGTAATTCATCAATTTCATGTTCAACATCTTTAAGATGTTTACTTGATTTATCCATTGTTGTTTGACATTGTTCTATAAAGAAAACTTTTGACCTTTTTGATTTTATTAGTCTCGTCAATCTTATATTTCTGTTTTATAGGTCAATCTATTTTTGTTTTCTGTAAATAATTAAACAAACCTATTTGTTTTGTTTGTAATGTGTTAATATGATGAGCTTGAGATGCAAGTAGTTGTGATCGTTGCATTGTATTCTCAAGTTCTTCTATTATAGAATTAAAATTATCTTTTGTAAAAGACATTGAATTATCTGTCATTTTTTCTTTTAATATTAATTATTGAAATAAATGAGAGATACAAATCTATGAGTTATATGTGTAAACAAATATGATCTATTTAATATGAAATAGTAATTAGAACGATAAAATTTCAATAATATAGCGAAAAGAAATGCGCTTAATGTAAATTTAAATTATCTTTAGAGACAAAAATAAATTGTTGCGATGATTCATTTGAAGTATTATTATCATCTGTTTGAATTCGATGTATTTCACAATTTGTTGTTAGATGATGTATTGTTGTATTTGTGAAATTAGTAGTAACAATTGATGGTTTAGATTCTTCATTATAATTTGCAGTATTTGATTTATTATGATGTCTCTTATTAATACTGGAGAAAATTCCTGTTGAAAAATATTGACTTTCTCTTTGAGAAATTGATTGATGATGATGATGTCGATCGAAAAAAATTGCATATAAATGTTTTCGAAATAATTGTCCTGTTAATGTATAAATATAAAAATGTCCAGCATAATAAATTTGTTGCATAAGAGTTAAAATAACTTTTCGAAACCAATCAAAACAAGAACGTTCACGACCAGTATAGTTAAATATATCATTAATTTCCGTTGGTAAACAAAGAATAAGAAATGTAAATGTTGTTCCAATTAACATCCAACTTAATTGTACATCTTTATCACGTACTTTTAGTTTCCTTTGTTCTTTTAATGTTTTTCGAAATGTTGGTCGAATTGTTTCTTTTGAATAAAATGTATAATAATAAAATTTGCCTTTTTTATTATAATGTATTGTTTTTCGTGTTTGAATTATTTGAAATATAATTAATAATGAACATATAAACATAATAGAAAATGGTATAATAATTAAAAAAATACTTTCAATATATGAATCATAAAATTGAAATAAATTCTTATAGAAAATATTTTCTTCACGTATATTACAATCATAGGATTCATCTAATTCTTTATCATGTAAATAGATTTTTTCATAACCATATAAAATATGTCCATTAGCAATAAAAACAATAATTATACTGATGAAAACAAACCATTTACCTTTGCGAATATTACAATAACGTTTTGAATGCGATGGACAATAAATTAAAATAAATCGATCTCTAAATAAAATAGGAAAAAAAAGAGCTTCTTCATTAAATAGATAAATATGTCATCAAATATTTAGTGTTAGAATATTAAATATTAACGTTTAAATAAATTTCTTTCCGTATGCTGATTTTTTGATTAATTAGTTTTTAGGCATTACTTAGAAAAATTTCTTATTCAAAAATTAAAATGATTGTATTGATTTTCATTTCAAAAATTAATTTTTATTTCAAACATAAGTAATATTAATTGAAATAAATATTAAAATGAACAAATTTTTATAAAATATATTTTTCTTAACAAAAGTTAATACAATATGTAAGAAAATTATTATATGTTTGATCTTAGGAAAAAAACAAGTAAATTCTTCAAGGAAATACGTCATAGGAATATTCGTTTAGCAGGTGTTCCATCATGAATGCACAAATACATTGTAACAAAAATTTTCTGAAAGGAGACTTATTTTTCATGTGTTATCATCCACCCTCACTTTCATGCTGTACTCTACCATTTAGAAGAACTAAAAAAACGTTTTCTCATGAAACTAGATTAATTACAATGTACTTTTTTCATTCATAGTGAAACACCTGCTAAACAAATATCCGTCATATGAAATGTTTTTTATCCTGTTTGATAAAACTTACACTGATGCTAATGTAAGAATAATATTTGATAAATGATTTGAAGAATAAATAAGAAATATTATTATTTTACAGACAATTGTATGAATAATAATTAAATCTATATGAAAACTATATGGTAGATGTTCAATAATCATTGTTAATAGATGAATTGAATCACTTATTGCTAATATCAAGAAATAAAAGCAACATGATTTTCGTCCTATTTAAATAAACCAAAAAAAAAAACTTTCTTTTGAAATTCAAAGAAAATAATTTTCAAAAAAACTTACGAAGAGGTTTTCTTGCAAAAACACAAATACTCAATACACTTGAAATAATTCCAATAAGAAAAATAAATGTACCAAAATAACGTATAATACCATTTGTAAAAGTACATTTTCGATAATCATTTGGTATTGAAAAATTTGTATTATTTTTCATTATTTTTAATATTTTGTTAAATAAATAAAACTTACGAATAATATAATAGTTGTTTCTTAAAATGATTTATTTATTTCTTAATTTTTATGATTTCTTTTTTCTGCCTCTTTTCTAATACAAAAAATATTGGTTTAAGGCCAGCAATTACATAAAAACGTTTTAGTTCTCGTGTCTAACACTAATGAAATGCTTTGAGTTAGAAGGAAAAAAAAGGAAAGAAAAAAAAGAGAACGTTAGCTTTGAAACTATTTTCTTAGAAAGACATTCGACTCTTTTTATATAGAAAAACAAAACGTTTGACATTTGCGAACATGGACACATTTCCGTTTCTAAATGTTTCATGTTTCATGTTTCATGTTTCTTTCATATACAAATCAATTGTCTAAAATAATTTTGTTCGGTATATGATTGAAAATAAAGTTAACTCTAATCAATAGTTTATTATTTTACGGATATTGAATAGAAAAGAAAAAATTTCGTGTATGATTTTCTTAGTTGATTAATCGTCTTCAATAACAACTATAATAGATATTCAGATATTAATAGCATAGAAGTTCAAAATGAAATACAATGCGTCTATGTGTGAGTACTTAGAAAATCCTGATATAAAGAAGAAACATGATGTTCTTCTCTTCTGGTCATTTCTTCAATAGATAATTGATAAATACGTTTAGAAAACATGATTCGTTATTTTTTGATTGAGAGAATTATTTTTCATAATTGATTTACAGATCACGTCAGGTTAAAGTACAAACTAATTTGTATTTAGTTCATTCTCAATTTTATTAATCAATCAGAAACAATAACACTCGATTTGTTTTTCTTGCATTATGATAATCATATACAAATTTTCCCAAAAAGCTTTTAGCGTAATTCCTAGAAGATTAAAATGTGAGACACGATGTCACTATTCTTGCTAATCATGAAAGGTTACTTTATTCTATCTATTTTCACATATATTTCTTCACGATCCTTTTATTTACTTCTCGAGAAATGCGATAAGGATATAGATCATACATTAGAATGAAACATTATTGATTTACAGCCTTTGATCGCATACTAACAACATTTATCACAATCTATGGGTGGTCCACATTTTTGCTCCAATACTTTAACACTCCTTTTAGATCGTATTTTACAAAAACCCTATAATCTAGACTAAATGTAATGCTTTTAAGATATTTTCTGCCGGATAGCCTTATCTTCTCTATTATTCTCAGTCTTCAAATTATGAATATGAGTTTTAGTTTTATTTCCCAAGAGAAGACTTCAATATCATTAATTTATATACAAAATAAAACATTGTGTAGCTAAGTGCAAAGTGCCAAACTATGTTAACTAAGAAGATTTAGAAAACATTGATGAATTAATTTAATAAAGTTCTAGATGATGATATACAATTATTTGTGAATCATACCATATAATATCTATATTGGATTACAGTGCACTTTCATCTTAGGTCATATTATGTGGTTCTTTTTATTGTTCTGGTACTCTAATAGATGAGTTTATTTTTATAAGTGTAAAGTAGATAGACACTCAATTAAATAACTGTTCGTAAAAGACAAGTCTATTATTAAGAGAAGAAAAAGGCTATGCATTACAAAAAAAATTATGATTTGAATTCGATTGTGTATTTCAGTAATTTCGAGATATGCCCATCGTCTAGAAATAGGAAATTTATGGAATTCTAGAAAATCAAGTGGGATTCGCTGTTTAGAGCCATTGAATTTGAATTGCACGTGACAATATTTTCTAACTCTTTCAGTAGAGCTGTGCCACTGTTTTTCGGTCCATCCTCATTGTAGAATACTTTGAATTCTCTTCGATTACTCGAATTTCATCTCTGTTGCTGTTGAATTTCTAGTTTCTGGATGGTGAGTACTGCGGATTTTGAAGTCCATTAAAAGTCGTATCAGCTTATTTTTGGGCATTTTCTGTTGAGAAAAATTCGAAAAATATTTTGAAAGAGAGGGGCAATCATCCCCAGCGTCCCCTCTAAATCTGCTACTCCGAGGTATGTTTTCTTTTACATTTATTTGCTCAAATATTATCGATCATGGTAACGCGTGACCACTTTGTAGAGATCTAGTCTACTCTTATACTATTCATTAATATATCTATGTAAATTTGTTCTAATCATAAACTCAATGTTTTTTTTTTATCAAAAATACGATTCACAAGCATTTTGTCGTTGATAGAATATAAATGAAAGAGAAAAAATTAATTTTAATATAATCTATTGTTATATTTATGAAAGTTTGAAAATATAGTTGAAAAATGCATCAAGGCACTCCTTACAATATGACTGTCAAAATTTCACCTATTCATGTCGCACTTTCGTTAACACTACCACTGGTATACCACGGTGGAATACTGATCTGGAGAAAGTCGACCGTTCAAGTATCGAACTATCACCAATATAGTGTACATTATATCGAATGATTTACCGATGGTTTTCGTTCGGTTTAAATCACATCAGTACTACACGTTGTCAGTGCAAGTTGGTTATAAAAAGAAGTGTTCTATAGTGTTGTTTGTGAACAATTGGATATTAACCACAGATTATATTCATGATGACACGAAGATTCAACGCGATCAAAATTGGATTTAATGTTATTTATATATTTTGTAACTGATTGACGAAAGAATGGATTGTTTCGAGTGATTTTTAGTGCCATCTATTGAAAATTTAAAGTTCTTGAGTTTTGTAGTATTTTGATTTGATTCTTATAATCTACTGATGCATCAAATGCGCTTGTTGTTCAGTGATTATTTCTAAATGCACTGCTTTTACGACTAGATCGTTATTCAAGATTTATATCTATTCAGAATCAGAGAGATCTTGAT